CTCCTGTGGATACAAGTACAGCAACTTTCATTTCAGAGAAATAGAAAATATAGCAGATACTGAACCACTCGAACTCAGAAGACAATACAAAACTCTTTTACAGTATGAGAAATTAAAAAGACTTGAAAGTCACCCACTGCATTTTAAATTTCAAGAGAGAACAAAAAACAGACTGAAGCGTCAGAGCCCCATACACCTTGCTATAGAACTGTACAGACAGCACCAAGATCTGCTTGAAAGAGATGTTGCACTGTGCGAAAAACTTAGGCCAGAACCATGGACAAGCAAGCCAGAGAAAGCAAATGTAGTCCTAAAGGTACCAGGAATCACTTCAAAAGATGCCCAGACGGAGACACAACAGAGAACCCTGGCTCTTGCTATGCTTGATGAGAAGTATCCAAACACCACTTGGATTCAGGTTTTCACCGACGGCTCTGCTAAAGACGCAGTCAGAAAGGGGGGTTGTGGAATTTACATTAAACCCCCTAGCAGTAGAGCAGAAACTCTCTCTCTACCAGCAGGTGACATCTGCACTAACTTCAGAGCTGAGGCAACTGCCCTCCTCTCTGCAGTCCAACATCTCATCACTCAAGAACACAGAGGGCACCAAATTGTTATACTTAGCGACTCATTGTCTGTTCTCCAAGCACTATCCAGCAAAAAACAAGAAAAACTAATTGCTGATCTAAGGACCAACATTGGCTTACTCTCCAAGGAAGCAGAACTGGTCTTGCAGTGGATACCAGCCCACTGTGGTATTCAAGGAAATGAGAGAGCAGATGAGTTGGCAAAAGCTGGGAGTAATCTTCCACAACCCCATCCACCACACAGCTACAAGGAAACCAAAACAGCGCTAAAGCAGTCTTTCAAGCGGGAGTGGAGAAGGCAGAATGGAGATTACAGACCAGAGAGTGACAGCATAAACAAACTCAACAGGAAAGAACAAACATCAATTTTTAGACTTCGGACTGGACACTGTGGTCTTCGAGCACACTTGTACAGGATAGGCATAAAAGAATCTGCTGCCTGTGATTATGGAGCAGAAAGACACATACTACAGTACTGCCCTAACCTCTCCCAGCAAAGACTGTGGATCTGGCCCAAAGGAGCCACATTGCAAGAGAAGCTATGGGGGACCGGTGGCGACCTTAAACGCACAATCCTATTTGTGACCCAGACGGGACTCAATGTTTAGCATGACTGATGTCGAACGCAGAAGAAGAAGAAGAAAATAGCTGCTGTTTTGTATATTCATCGGGTAGCTCTCCGCCTGGGTTTATGGACCTCTGAACCATGTATTATAGCACTATGACTACCACAGGATCTGCAGTTTCACCTGTACTATTCAATGTTTTTAAGTAATTAGAAAGGCATCATACACAGAACAGACACAGAGGGAGCGGATGCAAAGACAAGACTACACAAAAGTCCTTTTAGGGATTAATCACCATTACCAGCCAAGTACCCACGATGTCGTCAAGTGGAAGCAAATAGCAGAAGGGAAAATAGGAGAATAAATTAACCAGTAACAAAGAATTAAGGTCAAAGAGAACGATCATTTGCCTCGCAATGGTAGCGGCAGGATGAAACTGGAAGAATACAGAAACAATGTTTCGCCATATGTGACCTGACAAGGAACCCTCTTTGTCAGAAACGAAACCAAACTACACAATAAGAATGTACAGTGGATACCTGCCGCCTTGGGAAACCAACACTGACCTGTTACAGTAATTAAATAGACAAGAAGAATCACCATCAGAGAAACGTCCTCTTACAACAAGACATAAGAGAGCCACAGGAAACCTATTCAGAACAAGTACTGCACACACACACACAACCAAAAAAATTCGCAGTTATAAGCAAATACCCAGACTAGCTTTATGCTTGAACGTGACTGAATTTGTTGGTCTATTTTCAACAGACCTATAATTTATACACATCCTGGAATCATCTACTCATTCACCACGAATAAACTAGTGTTTGTATGTGTGCGCGTGTTAAAAACCGTTAAACGTCTTTACAGTAAAGAAGTTTCAAGAGTTAAATTAAATTATTTGGTTTCTTTTTATGTATTTTGGACATTTTCAACAAAACATTTGGTACTATTCTTTTTAAAATATCGACAGACCTGGTAAAGACTACAGAGGGGATGTTGGGAGGGGGGGGGTATAACTGAAGACCTATGGACGTGTCCGAAGTGCAATGAAAATCACCCAGCTCATAACCACGGCCTTCTCTATTTATTAGAGAAGGCAGTGCTCATAACTCATGCTGTTGGAGACCACACAAAAAGCCAGCTGGCAAGACTCTTGATAATGTTATGGAAAATCGCCATCTAAAAGCCAATTTGGCAACATTTGTAAAAAAAAAAAAAAATAATAATAGATGTCACTGGCCACGGATGAGAAAAACACGAGCATCTCAGCATCTCAGTGAATGTAGTCAATGTGTACTAAGTTGAGATGATTTTCATATTAAAAATTTTTACAGTGTTGTCAGTGGTATTTGACAGTTAAAAAGATAGCTCTAAGAGTCATTTCAATGATCAGTTACTAAATTGTACGATGCAATTTACAGTTCTAGTTCTGTTCTAGCTACACGTACACTCGTACACTACAAAATAATACTACAATTGAAGTTAACAACACACAGAGTCTGAGACGATGTATTGAATGAACGATGTCAACAATATTAATAATAGTTAGCAACAATAACATGAGGCAAATTTTTCTATATTATATTTAAATGCTGCAACTAACATAGTTGGACTCCACTTGGAGAATAAAATTCGACGGTACCCCGTTTAAGTCTGTTGTTTGGTCATTTCTATGTCGAGGGTGGTATCGTCAGTTTCAGCTATGAGTGACACTGGTGGTTTTATATCAGATGATCGGCGTGTCAGAGCGGCGTATGATGGTTTTATGAAAGGAACAGAACCAGATTTTCCATCTGCAGGGCAGGCAAGGGAATTTCCTGTCTCTCATTCTTTATTAGGACATATCAGTGAAAGTAAGGAGACCTCACATATACGCAAACATCATTTGATGCGCCCTAAAAGTCCAACTCGTAAATATGATGGTATGCTGAAAGACACGACACATTTCACTTATGCCTTCATGGAATCCACTGCTGCTGATCATGAAATTGAGAAGATATTCAATGTACAAAATCATGAACTTGTTTGTGCAATAGGCTCTAAAGCATTGATAACAGACAACATAAATAAAATTGTGGCTTCTTTAGAATTTCATTATTTTTGGTGTAACTTCTGCCCATTTACAACAAATAGTAAACACTCACTTACACAGCATGTGCTTGAACACAGATTTTGTTGTAAATATTGTGCTTATGAATCCTTCTGTCGATCTGACATTGTGAGACACATGCATAAAATGCACAAGGACTTTAAAAATACTGCTACTAATTTATACTATTTAACACTTCTTTCTGACTATTTACGTGTTAAAAGTAATGAAAATGAAAAAGAAAATAAGGATCCAGATGAAGATATTTCTAATATAGAACAAGAGAAAACAGATGCTCCTCTTTTGGATTTTGAAGGGTCAAAACATAAATCAGTACTTGAGAAGGATGAATTTGTATCACATGTCAACAAAGCTCAAAGATTAGATCTAGATCATGGTGCAGAAAATAATGTTTTTCAATCGTCTGTTATTTCGCGCAAGAAACAGGAAAATATTTCACAGAAGAGACCAGAAAAAATTTCACAAAAGACACCAGAAAATGTTTCACAAGAGAGACCAGAAAATGTTTCTCAAGAGAGACCAGAAAATGTTTCACAAGAGAGACCAGATAATGTTTCACTAGAAAGACCAGATAATGTTTCACTAGAAAGACCAGAAAATGTTTCACTAGAGAAACCAGAAAATGTTTCACTAGAGAGACCAGAAATTGTTTCACAAGAGAGACCAGAAAAAGTTTCACAAGAGAGACCAGAAAATGTTTCACTAGAGAGACCAGAAAATGTTTCACTAGAAAGACCAGAAAATGTTTCACTAGAAAGACCAGAATCATGTTGGAAGTCCCACAGCTCAAATCACCCTGTTTTGCCAGCAAAAGCTGATTATGATATTTTTGATATGGAAGTTGAAGATATTTCAGACAATCAGTTTCATGAGTTTCTTTCAACAACAGATGAGTGTAACACTAAAAAGTGTTCATCTGTCTTTAACCACACTTCTGCTGTGAGCAGTAATAAACATAGTGCCCAGAATGAAATGCTTTATGTTGGACCAGGCACTCAAGACAGCTGTTTACAAACCTCTGTTACCACCTTTAATCCTACTTCATCAGGGATCTCCACTCATCATCCTCATGGATTATATAAAAAAAGTAATAAGAGTGGCAAATCTAACTTGTACTTGGACTGTGCTTATTGCGAATTTCAAAGTATTAGTCAAAATGAGATCAAAGATCACTCCAGTAGATTACATCCTGAAAAACTACAATGCTGCGCAGCTCTTATAAAAAATATTGCTTCGGATTCATTTGTGATTGAAAACAAGAAGGGAAATGAACCTGGACCTTCAACTGCAACTAGTCGGCAAATAAATAAAAACAAGCCACACTTCAACCATTTGAATTCTAATGTTGCTTGCTTGTTAAAGGATTCTGGTGACAGTAAATCTGACAATGCAGCCAACTCTCAAACTTGTACAGCATCACTGAATGTAAAGGGTGTTTTCCGTATTCTGCCAGAAGTCAGAAGGAATGCATCAGCACATGCCATAAAAGAAGCAGCTTTTCTTAAATGTTTCCATTGCTTATACACATCCGGAAAAAACAGGACTATGAAAAATCATCTATGCCACAAGCACAGAGGTATGGGGCTGGTTGCAGTGACCAGTGATTCTCCAAGCAGTGAGATATTCTTTTGTGCTCGAGAAGCTTGCAATTTTTATTGTGAAGATGCTAGTTTATATCTAAACCATGCTGACCGATGTACACCTTGGAACAAACCAAATTTGGTCAATGTTGAAATGGAGCCACATCTTCTTGAATGTCTTGATCAGACCATTTCTCTTGCAAGAGTATCTCAATTGAAGGTAAATATATACATTTGTATATTAGTTAGTTAGTTAGTTGCGTTATCATCATTGCACTCTGGACATGTCCATAGGTGCTCAGATCCTCCCCTTAGTATGAACCCAGCGTCCGGTGGCTAATAGTGTCAGTTCTATGGTGATTGACAAGTCCTCTGGTGTGCATCTTGTTTTTTTGCTATGCTGATCCTAACACCCGAGTCTATCAGTCTGGTGAGTGATGTGGATTCTCTGGCCCCAAGTCCTCCACCCTTCCAATTTTTCAGATGAAATTATTAATATCGGCATGATCCATAGGTTGACCGCCGGTAGTGATGGCAGATCCAGCCAGCCTATCAGCTCTTTCATTTCCATTGACACCCGCATATACCGGAACGAAAAAAAAGGGGACTTCATGCACAGTGGACTTCTGTAATGATTCAAGCCATTGCCTTGGCACCGAACCTGCCTGAACCCACTGGATCATACTCACTGAATCTCTCAGTACACATGCGTGGGTGTAGTTTTGTGTTTTGAACCGAGTGAATTCTTGCGTTACTACTATCACCTTCATCGTCATGCTGCTGGTTGTCATATAGAAGGCGTTATTGGCTTCTTCGACTTCTGCCTGCTGAGTGTGCTGTGAACGCCCATGCACTTCTTTTTGCATATATATATAATATAAGCTATCCTCCGAATAACGGCCACATATTATACTTACTTTACTTTTACTTTTTCCTTCCACGTATGCCGCTAAGCGTTGTGGGGAGATGCAAGTTCCTGTCATAAGCAAGGCGGGCAGCATCTGATGTTCTGAGGCCATGCTTTTGGCAGGTTTCGGAGACCCCGTCAATCCACGGTTTCCTTGGTCTTCCTCTTGCCTTATATCCTGAGCTTCTTTGGTTGAAAATTTGTGATGTTATTTGATCATTTTTCATCCTGGTTAGATGTCCAAACCATTTAATTCTTTGATGTTCTATGTAGTCTAAACATGGCGTAGTTTTGACAGTGTTTCTAATGTCTATATTCTTTATCCTGTCTAGTCTGGTCTTGTTCGCTGCTTTTCTTAGACATTTCATTTCACAGGCTTCTATTTTTCTTTCATGGGTCTTGTTGATTGTCCATGTTTGGCACTGGTAGCAGAGTGTTGGAATGAAGATGGTGTTTATCAATTGTCTTTTGGTCTTCATGGTTATATCTGGATGTTTAAGCAGAGGTGATAGTTGGTATGTGACAGCATTTTGCTTTCTGTATTCTTGTTTCTATCTCTCTGTCCATTCTTCCATCCTCTGTAAATATACTGCCCAAGTATTTGAACTCTTTGGTTTGCTTGATTTTGGCACTTCCAACATTTATATTCAGTGGCCTGTGTGTTCTGCTGATCTTCATAACTTCTGTTTTTTCTGTACTGATTCTCATATTATGTTGTAAACAGCTGTTGTTGAGAGTAGTCAGATGTTCCTGTAGATCATATTCATTTTGATACAGTATGCTTTGATCATCAGCAAAAAGTAATTCGTTTATAGCATACACGTCTGGGTTTGCTTCTACAGTGATCTTATCCATGTTATATTATGGCGGCCAAAAATACACCCTGACAGGGCCTCATTAGGTCATGTAATGTAAATATTCAAAAACTTGAACTAAAAAATAGTGAGGAACGAAAAAAGGGAAAATGAAGAAGTCAACTACTTAGCGTTAATTGAGGCCTTTATATCTGAAAATAGTGGCACAGAAGTTGCAAATAATGCTAGAAAATCTGATCTTTGTGGCTGTAGCGCCATTGAAACTCAACTAAATATGATCGGTGCCGCATTGGTAACACAGTTTTCACTGCCAAGAGTATCTCCCGCGCCGCTACGGATGGCGAGCTAAACTAGATGGCTGGGACTCACGAGCAAATAAATTGGAGGAAGTTGTAGGAGAAGCTGTAGCTGCTGCTCGTGAGTCCTAGCCATAGAGTTTAGCGCCCCATCTGCGCAGCGTGTAGCCGCGCGGGGGATATGATTGTCGGTGTGTTAAATCGGAAAAACACAATCACTAACCTGAGTTGGAGTGAGTAGTCTCCCCGCCATGTCGCTATTATCGTGTGTATTGTTGCATTTCTCAAAATTGTCAACGGACAGTAATCCTAGTTTTGTTGTGATGTGTTTGTTGGAGAAAGTCCACAATTTACATGGGATTTAGGCCCTGTAAGGGCGTGTTTTTGGCTGCCATAATATGTGGCCATTATTTGGAGGATAGCCTATTATATATATATATATATATATATATATATATATATATATATATATATATATATATATATATATATATATATATATATATATATATATATATATATATATATATATATATATATATATATATATATATATATATATATGTACATAGCATAAAACGATTCATGTAAATGAATAGCTTTGTCTCAAACTAGTTTCATAACATTATATATAGTAATGTATGGTGGCTTGTATATTTTTATTGTATGCTCAAGTATTCTTGAATACCATACATTCCTTGGAGCTGCATATTGCAAGTATGTCTTATTTGTAATAGTCTCCAGTGCTGGCTTTTTTATATTGTGTCGTTTATATTGTGTATTGGGGGGGGGGGGGGGGGGGGGGAGCTTGAAAGGAAAATCAGTTTTACTACTGTTGTTTATATACTAGTGCAGCTAGGTGCCCAGATTGCCATGCCAGCAACAATAGTATACCTTTCTTGTGAGATCTCTTATAACCAAAAAGTATATGGTCAGTTGTATTTATGTTGCTGTATTATCATTTTTATATACCTGTTTTGCACAAGTGTAATTAGATAACTGTTTTCAAATTTTGAAACTCTTATTCGATTCAGTTTTAAAATGTCATATTTTGGGTCACTCTTAAGTGTGTGTGCGTTCATGAGAGTGAGCATATCTGGTGTGCATGTGAATTAAAATGTTTTACCTCATGCTGTTGTATTTTAAAATTAATGTGTTACACTGACAATTTAGATCTGCTATATAATTTTTTTCTTTCAGGAATTTGAGCACAAAAAGTAAGCATATTTTTTTTCATTTTAACAAATGTGTGTCTTTCATATGAAACATAATTTTATTAATCAACTTAAAATCTATGAGTACTTTTATATTCTATTTAAAATTGTAATTTATTAATATTATTTTATTCATTGTGAGCTGACATTGAATTTTCTGGTACAAACTAAAAGCCTGTTCAAAAGGCAATCCTGTTGTATTATCAAAACTTACACACTTTAGCTGCACTTTGGTAGCTCTTTCTCCTCAGTCTGCATTTTAATCTAGGTAATTAATTTATAATTGTGTTGTGCACATTGAACTCTTAGATTTTTATAAATTAAAATTTATTGTCTTTAAGAATTTTAACATCATGTAACCTTTTTATTTCTTTGAGTAATCATACTATATAGTTTGAGATGAAGGAATCATAATTTTTCCGGAGTAAATATTACAAAGTAACTTCTAAAAAAAAAAAACTACTTTATATCTCTTTTATATAAACTTGTATTAAAAACTTACATATCTTCTTCTTGTTCTTTATTCCAAACCTTTGAACTTGCTGCTGATGTCAACTGCCTCCATTCATCTCTGTAATTGACGTTCTCTTTCTGGTGGCTCCAAGTGTTTATAAGTCTGCATGCATATTACCTCTCCACCGTCTTCTTGGTCTGCCTCATGGTTTGGTCCCATAAGCAGAAAATATCTTGCTGCACAGCTTTGTGTTATTTTCTTCTTCTTTCTGAACTTCCTCCAATTACTTCTTGCATAGACTTCTGTAGAGTTCTAATCCCATTTGGCTGTTAGTACAAGGACTGGCCAGCAGGCATAGTAGAATAAAAAGTACAACTGTTTCATGACAATTCCTTTGCAGGTGATGTGATTATCTGTACAGATGGCTCTGTTCTGAGAGGCAGAAGCACTTGAGGGTTCATAACAAAAGCGAATAGATGTTGCTTAGTGCAACAAAGCATGGCCCTCAGAACCATGTAACATAGCCCCAGACTAACACAGGGTTCCACAGTTTCACCAATGCTCTTCAGTGTGCATACAAGCAATATTGCAGAACTTGAAGCACCAGGTATTGGAAGGATTTTGACATTTGCAGATGATGTTCTTGCATATAGGCAGGGGAGAGATAGTTAACAGACAAACAGGCAACTTTAGACAAAGTGACAGACCGGTGTGCAAAGAAGTGTTTTATGGTGCTCTCTGGACAATAGAATTGTAAGAGCTAATGATCCAGGCCTCACAATTAATAACAGAAACATGAAAATGTGTACATAATGTTTTTGTGGATTTTAAAAATGCATTGTGATAGTGTACGTAGAAACCGTTTATGGAATGCTATGAAGGACTTTAGAATACCAAAGAAGTTCATTACCATGACCAAACTATGGATGGAAGACACTTGTAATTTAGTAATATATAAAAGCAGAAAGTCAGACCCTTTACAAATAATATCTGCTTTAAAGTAAGGTGATGCTCTGTCCCCACTTCTTTTCAACTTGGCCCTGTAGAAAATTATAAGGAAATTGAAACGGGTGTACATAATAATAACTAGACAGGGAAAGGATATAAATTCCGGCATACAAGTCGATAATATGAAAATCAAACGAACGAAACATATAAGTACTTGGGTGTAAACTTCAACTGCTCCAACATGCTGAGAGAAGAAATACAATCTAGAATACAGTTTGGAAATAAAATATACTATGCCCTTCAGCATCTGCTAAAGTCAAAGTGTCTGTCTCACAACACCAAGATCAAAATATGTAAAACGTTGAAAAGACCGGTCGTTTTATGTGGCTCTGAAACTTGGAGCACAACTAAAAGTTAGAAGCTCTCAGGTGGCTAGAGAATAAGGTTGCATACACATGTCGTAATTGTAACAGACACTGAAAGCATGCTGAAAAAGGTGGAGACAGGGATGCTTGGAGCAGAGTGACTGGCTTCACTGGAAAGGTCACGGGTGGGCATACTTTGGATTTTTTCTCCAGAACATGCCTGCGGGGTGGGTAATGAACAGGCACTACTGTAATGGATCTGCACCACTAGATGGTGAATTGATACATGACAAGGCAGATGTGGTCAAGGCTCTTTGGGAACAAGCAAAGGAATCAGTAGAGAAAGAAGATTATTATGGCCTGGAGAGAATAAGGCACCTGGGTGTCACCAGAGGGTCTGGTCGGCTCACTACACTCAGAGAAAAGGCAATACGGACTTTTAACCAGATTGTGACCAGTACCGTCAGTATGGAACTCTGCACTTGCTGCTGAAGATGAGGTCGGAGCATGCATAAGAATGCCCTGAGTGCTGTAATGTCAATTCGTTCGTTCGTTAAAAATAAAAAAAAGTAAACAATCGGACGCTTCAGCGTGCCACTGGGGCTTTGCTTTTCTGGGCGGGTTTGTGTTAAGGCGTGTTACTGCGCCTTTTGTTTGCCACTTGTCCTCCTTGCCATTATCGGTGTTGGAGCTGATTCCTTAGCTGGTTGTCAGTCACGCAGTCACTGATTCCACCAGGGCAGTCGCCAAGAGCAACCTCTCAAAACAAATAAGCCAGCACTGAGCCACCAACCACAAGGACCTTTTCAGGGCCCCACTTAATTTTTTTTTTGTGCTTTTATTTTTTCACCTCTTACATGTGTAAGGGTGTGAGCTTTTCATCATTTTTTTTTTGGCCCCTTTTTTTTGGGGGGTATTGTTGTTTTTGTTTTTTTGGCCTTGCCTTTTTTAGTTTTTTTGGCATTTTTTTTTAAAATTTTTTATCCAGTTTTCTTCTGGCGTAATGTCAATTCTTGACTCAACTCAACTTAAAGAGATGAAACCTTATTACAGGTTTTAGAAAACAGCCTTACGACGAATCTTTAGACCCATCAAAGATGCAAACAGCAGGGAATGGAAAGTGAGAAGCAATCTGTTTAAATCACCACTGATCACTAGCATCATGAGAGCTAATAGACTGAAATGGTTGGTGCATATTGAAAGAATGTCAGATGACAGAGAAGTAAAAACTGTATACACGAGGGAGATGCATGGTCGTAGACCACAAGGCAGACCAAGAATACGATGGAGAGATAATATCCAGACAGACCTGCAAACACTTGGTGTCACCAACTGGAAGACTGAGCAACGAAAGAGATGAATGGAGGTGGGTGATATCTGCAGCAATGAACCTCAAGGACTCAGAATGCTGAAGAAGAAGAACATCAAAAAATAAAGCAAACTGAGGTACCTAGGTGTCATTTTTGATGCAAGTCTGTCATTCAGGGATCATGTGGAGGCAGTTGCGGTAAAATTCCAGAAAGGACTTGCTGCTGTTAAGATTTGGCAGCAATAGACATGGAACAAAGAATGCTGTTCATAAGCTTCCAGTGTGTGATCCTGTCGGTGATAAATTAAGGATTTGGAATGCTCACCATATCAAAGAGTCTACTAATAAAACTTTAACGCATACAGAATGAAGCCATGCGGGTAATTATGGGATGTACAAGAGATATCTTGGTAGTCTGTGTGCGATATAATCTAATCACTTTATATCGTGAGTGCAGGGACTGGCCAGCTGGTGCTGTAGAATCAGAAGTTCAACAAATGATTCATAACAATTCCCGCCCAAGTGATGTGATTATCTATACAGATGGTTCTTTGTAAAGAGGTAGACAAAGTGCATAGGGGTTCATAGCAAATGCGAAAGGACGTTGCTTAGCGCAGCAAAGCCTGGCATATGATATCACAACGTCTAGTTTGAGAATGGAAGGACGGCAGTCACTGCTGGATTGAGAATCAGCAGAACACACATTGTAATTGTAACTGACTCACAGAGTATGTTAAGAAAGGGAGAGACGGGCATGCTTCATGCAGAGTGGCAAGCATAGCTTCAGAGATCTTGGGTAGTTAGCGTTCGTTTATATATTTTCCAGTTCATGCTGGTGTGTTAGAAAATGGTTCTGCACTTTTTGGTGGAGAATTTATGTATGACAAGCTAGATGTTGTGAGGGGCCTTTGGGAGCAAGTGAACAGTGGGGAGACACAAATAACTCACTACGGTCTGAAATTAATGGCGCTATGAGGAGTTACCAGGGTATCTGGCCGACGCTGGACACTCAAGGGAAAGGTGAGATGAAAGTACAGTCAGTTACTGGTACCATCGGAATGGCTTGCTGCTGAAGATGTTGATGGAGAGCTTATAGGATGTCCTGAGTGCTATGTAATTTATGATTAATTCAAAATTCAGTAAAGCTTCACCCTACCCAACATTTTAGTGTTGTATTTGTCTTTGATGTTACCCCTATTTCTGTTTTCTTGATGCTCAAGAAAAATATATTTTTTCACACTTTTTTATTAGAAATTTTTTTTTTCTTTTATTTGTATAAAATATAGATTGTTTATGTTACAACTTTCAGCTCAGTTCTTATCTCTCTCAATATTAATTTGCTGCCATCTATTTCTAGTAAATATTGTTACTATGCTAAGATTCTCACATCAGTTTTAATATCCTCCAAAATATTGATAATTCATGAAATTTTGTGCTTTGAAATGCCTTGGTATCATCCAAAAAGCATTCAGAATATGTCTATAAATTATAAATCATGCAATAGTATAAAAATGGACCATAGCTATGATTAACAAATCTGGGGGCATCTTTTGCAGATTATGGCATAGATTATGTTGCAGGATTCACAAGTAAATGTTCCCTAATTTGCAAAGAACCATTAGGGAAGCTGACCAATGAGGTCTGGACAAAGAATGGACATGTCCTGCACTTGGTGCAGGGACATTCTGCAGTCCCCCCCCCCCCCCCAAGCGCTGTGTGGATCGGCAAGAGTCAGCTTCTGACCAGTATTTCTTTAAGATTGTGGTCTCGTCTGTAGACTAATTTCAGCTTCTCACTGAAGATCATCTTCATGTCCAGATTAGAGCGGAGGATGTCCACATGGCAAAAGAATACTTTGGAAGCAGCCAATTGTATTGTGAGGATGAAAAGTTAAAATCAGTTTAGGTCCATCGCTGGTGAAATTATGTTTGGTGGGGAAAGCATCTCTTCTGGTGATGGTTAATACTTTGTTCAGAGCCTCTTGTAGGATGTGTTCCAGAAAGAAACAGGCACGGAAGATGTCAGGAAGTTAAAGTGATTTATCTGAGAAATCAAACCTGTGCAGTCAGAGGAGCTGTGAGAATGGAATATAATTTTTACAAGGCAGTGAGTGAGATGATGGATAGAGAAGATAGCAGTGAGATACCTACTGATGAACTTCTTGACTTCTTCCATGCCCGTTTCTATTCGGAACACATCCCACAAGAGGCTCTGAACAATCAGTGTCCAGCTTACTTGTAAACAGTTTCATTATTGTCACAATTTTTTTTAATGCTTATTTTATTTGATATTATTATTTTCTTTTAATTCTATCTCTTATCAGTACCAATTATTGATGATTAACATTTGTATTTCTACTACTCTTTTACTCGTACTATTATTATATATTATCACTATTACTTTTACGTCTATTTTACTAGCCTTTTTTAATTTAATTTAATTTTATTCATTCCACATCAACTCTTTCATAGTTTCTCATGTGACCGCCTTGGTGGTTGGAGTACTCTCCTCTTTGTTATTGTTGTGTAGTTCAGTTCATATTGAGAAAGGCCCCAGCCAAAACATTGATTTGTGTTGTTTAGTGGATGTTTTTCTGCTTCCCCATTTTGTTACGCCACAGTTCACTGGATTAATTTCACGTATACACAGACACAAAATATACACACTGACACAACACACAGAGATACAACTTACACAGACACAAAATATACACACAGACACAATATATACGCACAGACACAACACTAATATGCCTAGACACAACACACATTAACAGTACACATAAACAAACACACTCAGACTCAACATACAAATTAAGGAATCTTCAAAAATATGTGGGCCAAATGTGCATCTAGCAAATAAACGTAAAGCTTATATAGCAACAGTGTATGTTGTAAGAACAAATGGGGACACATACAGCCATTGACTAAAAAATTTAGATTGTGACAGGGCTGTGTTCTGTCTCCCTCACTGATATCTTACAATTTGTGTAAAGACACTAGTCAGACAGTGAGCACAATACCCCAAGGAGAGCAGAAATCTCAAGAAGAATCTGTAGCAGACTACATAACCAAGGAACTCCTATTCATAAATAATTAAGCACTAATTGCCACTTTAGAAAAGGAACTGCAAAACCACATGAATGAGGTAAACCAACTATGCAATAATTATAACATGAAAATTAACATTAACAAAACAGGTCAAGTCCTGAACCAAAAAAATTATTAAAAAAACAGCAGAGATCAGATCCACCGAAAACCTCTGATGAAACAGTTAAAGAATATTAAGCCTTCAGAAGCATAATGTCAGAAGACAAGATCAACAAATGGCACCAGTACTGACAAATAAAGATGTTAGAAACTGTTTCCCCGTAATCAATTTTAAAAATGCTGACACAAACAATATATTGCACAATTTATTGCCAAGCATATTTCACTGTATCTTGTCAGGGGCATTACTACAGAGTTAAATCAACATAAAATGAAGCATAAAATAAACATGTGTCAGCAGATACTAAAAATAAAAGCACTAAGTAATACATTTTCATTTACCGCCTCTATTTGGACAGTTAGACTTGGAAACGGTTAACAAAACAAACAAAAAACAAAATAGCTGCTGAGAAGAGCCCTCAGCATATCACAGAGAGAGAGAGAGATCAGAAAGAAACTGGTCTAATGATAGTGCTATATTTAATTAGAAAACAAGTTGATTGGTCTGTACTTACCTCGACATCGCAAGATTCTAGAAGGATGAGATAATATGTAGTAGTTTCATTAAAACTATTTAACAGCACTTGTAATTTGTGATGATTTGTGTCATCACAACTCATTTATATTTATAGGATGTTGCAATTCATCACATATTAGTAATTTTCTTTTCTTTTTTTAGATCTTATTCCAGACATTCAAATTTAACGTCTTTTTCCGTGAAACTTTTCAGATAATGACTAAGCTTTATGTACAGCAAGTTAACTAGAGAAATGTGTATGTATCTTATTAAGTTATAATTGAAACACATGTTCCTATAATTTCAGATCTCGACTGTTAAAAGACAGTTGCATCACCATACCTGAGGATGTGACAGAAAGCATTCACAGTTTACAACTTTTATTAAAAGAAAAATCACCTGTTGAGACCCATCCATTGTGGATTCAAACTTCACAACCCAGTATCCACCATAAAGTTGAGGCATCCTTGGTTAAAATGGGAAAGAAAACAGAAAATTCGAAAGATATTTACACTAATACCTTAGAAAATGCATGTAACCATTTATGTCCACAAAATCTGAACAGCCCTGTGGATACTGACCAATGCTCAAACCCTGTGTTTCCAAAAGTTCTACCTTCAGAAGGCATGTTTGTCGCTCCATCCCTTTTAGAAACTGAAAAGGCTGACAAGCTTTATGTTTGTAATTCATCAAGTCACACTGATTTAAATAAACATAATTCAAACATATGCCCCTCAGCAGCATTTAAGGATAAGTTTGCCTCTGATAACTTTGTTGATGTAGAAACCAGTAAGGCAGCATGTTTAAGTGAACTTAATCCTGAAGTGGGGGAAATGTTGATTGATCATTGCCAATCTGATCTAGTTAAACCTTTAACAGATTTCACTGTTGCAAAGAATAATAATAAAGCGTACACTTTTTCAATTAATGAAGAAGTCTTATCTCAGAAGGTTTTGACTGTAGATGAAAGCAAATCAGTTTTGACTGTAGATAAAAGCAAATCAGGTTTGACTGTAGATGAAAGCAAATCAGATTTAACAACTGAAAATAATGGACCAGGTGTAGAGACTATGCAACTAACAAATAACAATGATCATTCAGTGACCCATTTTATTAATTGTAAAGACAATAGTAATGTTGACAGTTTAGATGAGAGGAATACAGTAAAAAATATGAGTAGTGATGAAAGTAAATTGGAAGTTCACCTCTTGGGAAAAACAGACACTTCCTTCATAAAATCAAATGGTGATGCTGAGACTGATCAGCATGACAACCCTTCATTGAAGTTAAGATTAAAGGTGGTCAGACATGCAAATGTCTACAGTTTTAGCAATAATGCTCAGCTGCTAGGACCATCAGATACCAATAAACAGATCAGAGCATCAGACTCCATTGGTTGTAATTCAAGCAAACATTCAGATGAAGAGAATGATATAAGTATGCAAAGTGACTGCACAGAGGCTTCACAGATCCAGAATCTATGGATTAAAGATTTGATAGACTCCACTGAAGAGTCAGATAGTGACCAAACATTTTGTTCTACTGACATTAATGATTCAATAAATTCAGTCCCTGATAGGCTCACAAATTCCCCAGATTATGTATCAGATAACAAAAATTCATTTTTTGTTAGCAACATATTAAAGAGTAATCAAACTCTAAACAGTTCACAAGAACAAACATCCCTCTGTGTTGAAGGCAAAAGTAAGCAGTGTATCGTACCAGGCCAGGTCATGAGAGAAGAACCTGAAACGGCAGGTGTTATCAAACCATGCTATTCCTTTGTACCACTTCGCTCTGCTGCAGTCAAAGCTATTTCAAAAATGAAACCATTGCTAACATGTGAAACAGAGAGTACAGATTATAATTCCAGAAATAACTGTAGGGGTAAAAAATCAGTCCTGAAGCGTAAGCTGTCATATTCAAGCTCAAATCATAACACAAATCAGAAATCCCCAGCCAGTAGAAAACGCAGGAAATTATCTGATCAAAAATTTGCATCAGAAATGTCAAAGTCTGCATACATGTGCCAGTATTGCATTGACATCAGTGAAGGTCCCTTGAAAAAAATTAAATCTCATGTTCTGAGCAAACACAGTTCTATGCCTCCAGTCGTGGTCAACAGTTTTAAGCAACGGCATCATATTAATTGTCAGTTTTTTGTATGCCCTTATGATTCATGCTACAAACTATCAAGAACACAAGAAGAATCTGAAGCTCACAAGTGCACACATGAGCAAGCCAATATACAGCAGTCCTCACCAGAGTTATCTGGAAATAACTTACCATTTTCTACTAATATTAATGACATTAAAAAGACATCAGATCCTAAACCTGTTCGTGCTTGCAGGGTAGAACTTAATGTTCTAGATATGTCACAAATAAATTCTGTTGGTTCAGTGCTATTTATGCAGGAAAAGAAAAAATACCAGTGTTTGTATTGCACCAGTTATTATTATGATGAAACATTACAAGGAATGAAAGCACACTACTTCCAGGAGCATGAAGGTCAACTGATTGTCATCAGGGACACTGAGGCACATCGTTTGCAGCTGCCTTCCCGCATTTATGTTTGTGATAACCCTCATTGTCAACAGTTTTATATCAACCGATCAGACTTAGACAGCCATGCCAATAGCCACAAATCTAATTCAACTGTTATTTATGAATGTGCCTCTTGTGGCTGGTATTCAGCATCCCACACAGTTGCTTGCCACCATGCAAAGACTGAACATGCAGATGAAGAAGCTCTTTCATTAGTACACATGCAAGTTTCTGTGGATGAGTATGGTCAGACATCTAAAATTATTTTGTGATGCTTCTAAGCAGTTATGATTTTTTTTTTTTTGTTGTTGCTGAAATAGTTCTCTTTGCAGCATTTATTTTCAGTAAGACTAATACAGATTTTGGCAGCATTTTAATTTCAGAAGCCTTGTGTAGAATGATGAAATTGATAATTAATGTTTATGTCAAGCATTACATCTGTATCCTATAATTTAGAAATGTTTCTGTTTTTATCAGGCTTTCAGTTAATGTTATTTTCCACGTGTTTTACATTTATACTTAATTCTAATAAATTTTGTAATATTTAAAGATCGGGTGGCTCAATAGTCATCAAATGATGGGGAAGCTGTTTATCTGATAAAGGTAATTGCTTTTATTTAAGAGACAAACTTTACCTGATGACTTTATTTGATGATTGTCCCTCCATGAAAACTAAGGTGTCACTGAAACAATAGTTTTGTTTTATCATTTTGTCATTTAGAATTTTTTCTTCAAATGTTTACATTATGGATTTGTAAGAATTGATTAAAATGTGTTACTTATGTAAAATACTGAGTTTGCCAGTGGAATGAGGGGCAGGGGCTGACCAGCACGAAGGGCACAATATATAAGTGACTCCATGAATAGGACAGTACACTAGGCAGGGGAGCTGGCGAGAGACCGAGTTTCTTTCAGGCAGACTGGGATGAGAGCGACGCTCTGAAAAGGTTACGTGATGATGATTTAAGTTTCAGAAGGCATATAAGTGTGTGTATATATGGTGTCTTATGCAGATGATTTAAACAAACAAAAAAGCTTAGAAAAATCTACAGTGCTTTTTCAGAAAATTAAGTTTTATTATTTTTACCTCTGAGAAATGCTCATGTAGAGGATCAAACAGTTAACCATCTAAGGCAAAGATTAAAAACTAGCATGCACATTATACATATTCAAAAGCCCTTTGAGGTTAAAGATTGAAATGAAAGAGTTAGCTGAAGGAAGAGGCCACTATACTATTTTGTGTCACGTGTGATTATGATATACAAACATTTGGATTCTTACTAGTGTGATTGCATTCTTGCATCATGCTGAGATTCTCCAAGTGTGATTACACTCTTGCATCATGCTGAAATTCTCAGTGGTGTGATTGCATTCTTGCATCATGCTGAGATTCTCCAAGTGTGATTGCACTATTGCATCATGCAGAGATTCTCCAAGTGTGATTGCACTCTTGCATCTTGCTGAGATTCTCCAAGTGTGATTGCATTCTTGCATCATGCAGAGATTATCAAAGTGTGATTGCATTCTTGCATCATGTTGAGATTCTCCAAGTATGATTGCACTCTTGTGTCATGTTGAGATTCTCACTGGTTTAATTGCATTTTTATATCATGCTGAGATTATCCAAGTGTGATTGCACTCTTGCATCATGCTGAGATTCTCCAAGTGTGATTACATCTTGCATCATGCTGAGATTCTCCAAGTGTGATTGCACTCTTGCATCATGCTGAGATTCTCCAAGTGTGATTGCACTCTTGCATCATGCTGAGATTCTCCAAGTGTGATTGCACTCTTGCATCATGCTGAGATTCTCCAAGTGTGATTGCATTCTTGCATCATGCTGAGATTCTCCAAGTGTGATTGCATTCTTGCATCATGCTGAGATTCTCCAAGTGTGATTGCACTCTTGCATCATGCTGAGATTCTCCAAGTGTGATTACATTCTTGCATCATGCTGAGATTCTCCAAGTGTGATTGCATTCTTGCATCATGCTGAGATTCTCCAAGTGTGATTGCATTCTTGCATCATGCTGAGATTCTCCAAGTGTGATTGCATTCTTGCATCATGCTGAGATTCTCACTGGTGTGATTGCATTCTTGCATCATGCTGAGATTCTCAGTGTGATTGTGCATTGCATTTCTTGCATCATCATGCTGAGATTCTCCAAGTGTGATTACATTCTTGCATCATGCTGAGATTCTCACTGGTGTGATTGCATTCTTGCATCATGCTGAGATTCTCCAAGTGTGATTGCATTCTTGCATCATGCTGAGATTCTCCAAGTGTGATTGCACTCTTGCATCATGCTGAGATTTCACCAAGTGTGATTGCACTCTTGCATCATGCTGTGTGATTGCACTCTTGCATCATGCTGAGATTCTCCAAGTGTGATTGCACTCTTACATCATGCTGAGATTCTCCAAGTGTGATTGCACTCTTGCATCATGCTGAGATTCTCCAAGTGTGATTGCACTCTTGCATCATGCTGAGATTCTCCAAGTGTGATTGCATTCTTGCATCATGCTGAGATTCTCCAAGTGTGATTGCACTCTTGCATCATGCTGAGATTCTCCAAGTGTGATTGATTGCATCATTCTCCAAGTGTGATTGCACTCTTCATGCTGAGATTGCATTCTCTTACATCATGCTGTGATCCAAGTACATGCACTCTTGCATCATGCTGAGATTCTCAGTGTGATTGTGATTGCACTCTTGCACATCATGCTGAGATTCTCCAAGTGTGATTGCACTCTTGCATCATGCTGAGATTCTCCACTGGTGTGATTCTCTTGCATCATGCTGAGATTCGCACTGGTGTGATTGCACTCTTGCATCATGCTGAGATTCTCACTGGTGTGATTGCACTCTTGCATCATGCTGAGATTCTCCAAGTGTGATTGCACTCTTGCATCATGCTGAGATTCTCCAAGTGTGATTGCACTCTTGCATCATGCTGAGATTCTCCAAGTGTGATTGCACTCTTGCATCATGCTGAGATTCTCCAAGTGTGATTGCACTCTTACATCATGCTGAGATTCTCCAAGTGTGATTGCACTCTTGCATCATGCTGAGATTCTCCAAGTGTGATTGCACTCTTGCATCATGCTGAGCTCCAAGTGTGATTACATTCTTCTCATGCTGAGATGTGATTGCACTCTTGCATCATGCTGAGATTCTCCAAGTGTGATTGCACTCTTGCATCATGCTGAGATTCTCACTGGTGTGATTGCACTCTTGCATCATGCTGAGATTCTCCAAGTGTGATTGCACTCTTGCATCATGCTGAGATTCTCCAAGTGTGATTGCACTCTTGCATCATGCTGAGATTCTCACTGGTGTGATTGCACTCTTGCATCATGCTGAGATTCTCACTGGTGTGATTGCACTCTTGCATCATGCTGAGATTCTCCAAGTGTGATTGCACTCTTGCATCATGCTGAGATTCTCACTGGTGTGATTGCACTCTTGCATCATGCTGAGATTCTCCAAGTGTGATTGCACTCTTGCATCATGCTGAGATTCTCCAAGTGTGATTGCATTCTTGCATCATGCTGAGATTCTCCAAGTGTGATTGCACTCTTGCATCATGCTGAGATTCTCCAAGTGTGATTGCATTCTTGCATCATGCTGAGATTCTCCAAGTGTGATTGCATTCTTGCATCATGCTGAGATTCTCACTGGTGTGATTGCATTCTTGCATCATGCTGAGATTCTCCAAGTGTGATTACATTCTTGCATCATGCTGAGATTCTCACTGGTGTGATTGCACTCTTGCATCATGCTGAGATTCTCACTGGTGTGATTGCATTCTTGCATCATGCTGAGATTCTCACTGGTGTGATTGCACTCTTGCATCATGCTGAGATTCTCACTGGTGTGATTGCATTCTTGCATCATGCTGAGATTCTCACTGGTGTGATTGCATTCTTGCATCATGCTGAGATTCTCACTGGTGTGATTGCACTCTTACATCATGCTGAGATTCTCCAAGTGTGATTGCACTCTTGCATCATGCTGAGATTCTCCAATGTGTTTTTCTTGCATCATGCTGAGATTCTCCAAGTGTGATTGCATTCTTGCATCATGCTGAGATTCTCCAAGTGTGATTGCACTCTTGCATCATGCTGAGATTCTCACTGGTGATTGCACTCTGCATCATGAGATTCTGCTGAGATTCTCCATGCTGAGATTCTCCAAGTGTGATTGCATTCTTGCATCATGCTGAGATTTCCAAGTGTGATTGCACTTTAAATCCATCATGTGATTCTCCAAGTGTCTTGCATCATGCTCACTACGGTGTGATTGCACTCTTGCATCATGCTGAGATTCTCCAAGTGTGATTGCACTCTTGCATTATGCTGAGATTCTCACTGGTGTGATTGCACTCTTGCATCATGCTGAGATTCTCAGTGGTGTGATTGCACTCTTACATCATGCTGAGATTCACCAAGTGTGATTGCACTCTTACATCATGCTGAGATTCTCACTGGTGTGATTGCACTCTTGCATTATGCTGAGATCCTCACTGGTGTGATTGCACTCTTGCATCATGCTGAGATTCTCCAAGTATGATTGCACTCTTGCATTATGCTGAGATCCTCACTGGTGTGATTGCACTCTTGCATCATGCTGAGATCCTCACTGGTGTGATTGCACTCTTGCATTATGCTGAGATCCTCACTGGTGTGATTGCACTCTTGCATTATGCTGAATCCTCAATGCACTATGCATTATGCTGAGATCCTCACTGGTGTGATTGCACTCTTGCATTATGCTGAGATCCTCACTGGTGTGATTGCACTCTTGCATTATTCTGAGATTCTTAGTGTGATCTGTGAGAAAATACTTGAGTACTTATGGAAATATATTATTGCAATTCAAATTGATGTATGAGAACTGTACATCAACCACTTGACCACACATTCCTCGCTGGGAGCACATAATACAAACATAGATGTGTGATTTGAACATGAGTTCGTTTTTTTATTTGTCAGTTGAAAATGGTTTTCAGTTTGTAATAATAATGCAACATTATTTTTTTTTAAAGATCAATGCATATTATTGATATTTCTATTTGTATTGTTTCCTTATTTATTGTTTCTCTGCTTTCTTATTTTAAATCCAATACTATCATGATAGTATCATGATATCAATGATATTTCTATTTGTATTGTTTCCTTATTTATTGTTTCTCTGCTTCCTTATTTTAAATCCAATACTATCACGTATTGTTGGCGTCTGTGGCTTAGGTGCTGCGAACGAGCTTTGTAA